TGGGTTTTTCTTGTTGTTTTATAAACTTTTTATTTTGAGGTAATTAGAGATTCACAGGAAGTTACAGAAAAATTCTACAAGGATAATTTTATTTTAAGATGGGAATCAGTTTTTCTTTTCCTTTTTTAAAAAATTTATTTAGCTGTGCCATGTGTTAGTTGAAGCATGCGGGATCTAGTTCCCTAGCTGGGGATGGAATCTGGGGCCCCATGCACTGGGAACAGAGTCTTAACTGCTGGACCACCAGGAAGTCCCCAAAGATAGCTTTAGAGTCACAGTTTTGAAGCCAGGAAATAGATGTTTATATAGTACAAGTCTGTATAGTCCTGTGGCGTTTTATCATCTGTGTAGATTTGCCTAACTGCTACCTCCATCAAGATACACAAATATTCCATCACCACAAAGCTCTGTCACCTGTACTTCCCCTTTGTAGTCACACCCATCCTATTCTCACCCCCACTCCCCTCCATCCATAATTCCTGGCAGCCACTATGTTGTTCTCTATCCTTGTCTGTTTGATGTTGTATTAGATGAGCTAGTAATGTAACATTATTTACAAGGGGAAATGTTTTCTGAAGCAGAAAGTACTATCTTAAAATTTAAAGAACCTCCTTATTTCTACATGTTTTTTATGTATAAAATGGAGAACGCCAATGGGATTTTAACTCATTTGCTCCCAAGCAATTTGACTGGAGTCTCATTCAACCCTTGCCTTCTTTCAGGTCTGCTTCGAACAGAGTTTTCTTAAGGAGGAAAAGCATTTTTTCATTAAGTTAGTGATGTTGCAATTCACCAAAAATTGAATGGATTTTTCAAAACCTCTTAGCGTCTCTTATTTTGAGGAGTCAGAAAAGAATTAAAAAATTTTTAATGTAAGAAATAAGGCTATAATCCACTGCTGCCTTTGTGTTCCTTGTCATAATAAATTGTAATGATAAAGATAGGATCAAATGAGTTGATATGTATAAGGCACTTAGAGTAGTGCCTGGCACATAGTGATCTCTACCTTAGGGTTAGCTTTTTATTGCAGCTGTTAAGACCTGTGTTCTAAGGAAGAAAGAACTTTTTAAGCCCAGAGTCAGAAGATTAGATCACACAGAAAAGGACAGATGTATTGGCTACTGTCAGTAGTTCTATATGCACATAAAGGAGATAGGGAAGATGTTTACATAGGTTTATTCAGGTGGTGGGTTTCTGGGTGGTTTATGGTCCCTCCCTGCTGCCCCTCTCCACCCTCCGATTTTCTGTTTCACAAACTTATTTAACAACTGTAATTACTCTTATAGATGGGGAAATTAAGTAGGCCTGGTTTTGATAAGATGCTTGTGAAACTGACAGTAGTGCTAGTATAAATGATCAAGTATTTCAGAAGTGCAGTTTGACAAGTATCAAGACCTTGAAAGAAAGGGTTCCTACTCTTTGACCTAGTGATTTCGCTTCTAGGACTGTATATTTAGGAAATGATCAGAAATGTCAGAAAAGGTGCAAGAATATTCTTTATTTATAATATAGCCTTACTTATGACAGAAAATTATAATATAGCCTTACTTATGACAGGAAAATGACTTGTCAAATAGCTAGATAAGTTGAATAGCAATTTCATAGAGACACTTTGATTATAGCATTAATATAAATTTGGAAATTTTGTTAATTGGTTAAAAACAAATTCAGAGTTGATGGATTTAATCCTAGAAATTTTGTCCGAAACCTTGACATCTTTATATAGTTGTATAAATATACTGTGATATTTAGGAAGACCAAACATGTTTTCTAGCAGCTTGATGTTTTTAATATAGTTATCATGTGTCATGTTTATGTAATGTAATATCTACCACTAAATATTTTGTGTCTATACTGGAAGATAATGTGACATGAGCATATATCTAGGCTGAGTACAAAGTACTCAAATTCCTTTTGGCTGTAGAGTTGCTTCTGTCATTTTCTTTTCCTGCAGTAATTTCAAATTTGAAATTTGCAAAATCTAGGTTTAAAAAAAGTACTTTATATCTTTAGAACATTTACTGTTGACCTGCTGTGTTAAAGTGATAATTGTTGTCTCTTTTTTCAGTAGTCCCCATCTCAATTGCTCAAGCCAGAAACTTAGGATTTTTAGTACTTCTGGATACATCATTCTTAACTTACACTATGTGGATCCAGTTTTTGACCAAGTGATATTTTCAGTATCCATTAATACTACCCTATTCCAGGGAACACTGCCTTTTTCTTAAAGTGTCATAGTAACATCATAACTTCCTCAGTCTTTCCTAATTCAGTTCATTCTTTTTTGTTTTTATTTAATTTTAAAATTATATTGAAGATATGCATATATCATGCTTAACAAGCTAAATATTTCCACAAGAGAGCAAAATATAGCAATATCCTGTTGTTCCCACCTTTCCAACCTCCACCTTTGAGCCCAACACCCATCCACATCTCTTAACTTTTCTTATTTGGAAGACTTTATATATGTTTTAAAGATAACATATCTAAATGCCTATTGCTTATGAGTTTTCAATTTTGGATATGATTTATTGACTCTCTACTGTGGAAGATGACTTCACTGTATTTTCTCTTCCTCTCATATTTGCACAATTTATTTCCTCCTCTTTTCTTTATAGTTATGTCACAATTTTGACATGAATAAGTAATCATGGCCCAACTGTTCTTTATAGGTGTAGAGAAAGCTGATCCATGATTACTTACTTAAATTTTGTTTTCTTTCAGCTAAATAACTTACTTTAACTTTCTCTGTTTTGATCCATGATTACGTACTTAAATTTTGTTTTCTTTCAGCTAAATAGCTTACTTTAACTTTCTCTGTTTTGGGGTGCATGCTCAGTAGTATCCAGCTCTTTGCGATCCCATGATTATAGCCTGCCAGGCTCCTCTGTCCTTGGGATTTTCCTGGCAAGAATACTGGAGTGGGTTGCCATTTCCTCCAAGGGATCTTCCCAACCCAGGGTTCAAACCCACGTCTCCTGCATCTCCTGCATTGGCAGGAGCGTTCTTTGTCACTGAGCTACCTGGAATCCCTTTAGCTCTCTCTATGACTTGTCACTAATTTTTCTGCCAGTAATGAATGTAGTGTGTTTTCTCTGTGTTCAAACACTCCAGATAGTGTTTCATCTTTCAGAGATGTCTCTCTTGGAATTTCCGTCCTTGCTATTTACCATCTGGACTATCATTCTTATGGTCTGCTCTTAGCTTTGTCTCAGAATCTCCCTTTACTCTTAGTCTGGGAATTTCCAGTATTTTCTTTCGGTCTTGGTTCCTTGGTTTCCTGGCTCTTCTCCCCCCTTTTCTAACTTTGCTAGTTTGATTTGATGGAAGACATATTCTACAAGCTCTGTGAGAATAGGTGCCTAAAAGGAAGATTGTCCGAGACTTTCTGAAAATGTCTGTGATGTACTTTCATACTTAACTGATACTTCTGTTGAATATAGAATTCTAGGATTTTGAAGGCTTTGTTTCAGTTGTCTTCTATCTTCTAGAGTTGCTGTTAAAATACATGATACCTTCTGATCCCTTTTTTTCTGTATGTTATCTGTTTTTGTTTTGCTTTGTTTTTGAATTGACAGATTTTATGATTTCTTTGTCTCCAGTGTGCTACAGGTTTTGATGCTAGGCCTTGGTTTGAGTCTTTTTTTTTTTTTTTTAATCTTTTGTAATGGACATTAGACAGGTCTTTTCTCATCCTTTAGATTCAGGAGACATTATCTTGAATTAGCATTTTTTTCAATAAGTTACTGTCCTCTATTCTCTCTGTATTCTCTTAAAATTATTTTTATTATTCAGAAGTTGACTCTAGTGGACTCTTCTAATTAACATAATATTTTTGCCCCCATATTTAGCTTATTGTTTAAAAGGTATTGTCACCTTTATCTTTATTGATTTATAAAAATTATTTTATTATATTTTCCATGTCCAAAAGTTTTATTTGGTTCTCTGAATCTTTGTTTGTACCCTTCTGTTTTTTCTATTTAATGGGAGCAATATGTATCTGGAAGTAATAATCACATGATATTGTCCTTTTCTCAATTTTCTTTTTTTTCCACCCTAACTCAGTGTCCTTGAAATTCTTCTTTCCTATGGATTATGTCTCTTTCTGACCATGGTGGTTGTATTATAGCAGCGTTCCTAACCTATTTTGACCCTTGAACCCCTTTGGAAAACTGAAGCTTCTGGAGTTGAACCCTTATTTAAAATCCAAGAAAATCAGTTCTAATAACGTACCTATCAAAATATTTTTTTAAAACTGTCCTATGGCTATATATGTGCCTCTTTGTTAATATATTAAGTATCTAGAGGTGCTGAGATTAGAACTTCAAAGCAGTGATGAGTGTAAATGATGTTTTTGAGATATCTGTACAAACTGTAATGTGATATGAAAATATCTGTGTTTTATTAGTGATAAGTCACATATATTGCCAATTCTTCTACAGTTGGTAGCCTACATGTATAATTAAAAGCAATGTCATTTCAGTTGGAGGTTAGTGTAAAACAAAATTTTAATTTTTTTTTTACATCTAAGTTCTTGAGCTCTTTGAATTCTATTGATAGATCTGTGGGGAATCAAACATCCCCTTTTAGGGGTTTCTTCAAATGCCTGGGGTCGTTGGCTTTCAGCTCAAAAGTTTGAGGTTACTAAAAAGTTGATTGGAAGCTCTGAATGATTGACTGGGACTTGGCAACAAGTAGGCTTCACTTTATGTTCTGGCATGCTCATCTTTCATTTGTAGATTTTCCTTTTGGGATTCAGATCTCTTCAAAGAAGAACCTATAATTCTGCATATGGAATATGGATCTAATTATCTGTGTTCATATGGATAAGTAATTGTGCCCACTTGTATTCTTATAAAATTTGTTTTTGTGATTTAACTGAGTGGTTATATTATTAAATAAACCAGTCTGGGAAAGTACACAACTGTCTTTAATGCTTTTAAACCATTAATGTAACAAGAAAACTGGGCTTTTTCATGAATTTATATTTAATTTTTCAGGAGCTTTCAAGTTGTGGATGGAATAAAAAAGAAAAATACAGTTCTGCACCAAATGCAGTTGCCTTCACAAGAAGATTTAATCATGTGAGTTGCTTATAAAATTTTGATGTTTAATTTCCGAAATTCAATTCCTCAGTGTGTAATTTTTTATTAAGAAGTAATTTAAGTTTTTACATCAGTTCTAGAGCATTTTCAACCAATATCTCATCAGTGTCTTTCCATATAATCTTTTTCTTTTTTTTTTTCCTTCTGTAATTCCTACTGGAAATTTACTGGAACTTTATGTTCTTTCCTACTTGTGTCTTAACCTGTCATATTTTACATCTGTCCCTTTGTGCTCCATTCTGTGTTATTTACTCAGATCTATATTTCAGTTCACTAAAATAATTCTCTTCCAGTGTATCAAATCTGCGCACTTTTTTTTTATACTAGTGTCATTTCCTCCCCCCACTTTTTTTTCCAATTTCTTAAGTCATCTTCAACTTTTTATTTTGTAATTTCTCTGTTATTATCCAAAGTCCTTGAAGTACTAATGCTCTGTATATGCTAATTCATACTCACAATAGCTTCTTATGCATTTTGTAGTTTTGAATTGAGAGCTTATGTTCATTTAAGCTTTAGCTGTGGGAATTTTGCTGCTGCCTAGATTGAGGGTATATACATTCTTAGAGGCATTCATTTTTTTTTGCTTTCACTGTTACCAAGGGCTTTTACAGAACTAGGACTATTTTTTTTTTTTTTTTCAGAACTAGGACTATTTTTTATGTTCTGTGTTTTGGTTAGGGGACATCTGTACTACTCTGTAGTGAAAGTTTAAGCTCTAAACTCTAAATCCAATTAAGGTCAGGTTACAAATTCTTAAGGAAGACTTAATTCTCTCCCTCTTCTGTATTGTCTCCTTCTGTCAGTGGGTGAATTGTTTTAGTCTACATTTTCACCAAAACTGTAGCTCTTTGAAGATCTCTTAGATAGGAACTGATGGGGGAGGGCAGAGGTGTGAAGCTTTATGTTATTACTTAGAAGGTGTATTAAATCTCAGATCCCTATGCTCTTGAGAGGAAATCTGCCAATGGCAGCTATCGTACCCTTTCCTTTATTTCCTTTATTTTTGGCCTCAAGTGAACTCTTTTCAAGTTAGTCATGTGCAATGCTTCGTCACTCAGTTGTGTCTGACTCTTTGAAACCCCATGAACTATAGCCCACCAGGCTCCTCTGTCCATGGAGATTCTCCAGGCAGGAATACTAGAGTGGGTTCCCATGCCCTCCTCCAGGGGATCTTCCCAACCCAGGGATCGAACCTAGGTCTCCTGCATTACAGCTAGATTCTTTACCATCTGAGCCACAGGGAAGCCCAAAAATACTGGAGTGGGTAGCCTATCCCTTCTCCAGGGGATCTTTCCAACCCAAGAATCAAATCGGGGTCTCCTGCATTGCAGGCAGATTCTTTACCAGCTGAGCTACCAGGGAAGCCTACTTTTAAAAAAATGCTTCTCTTTAACCCAGCATTTCTAGGGGTTTATAGCAAATAGTATATCTCAAGTTATTTGGGTCACTGCATTACCCCAAACGGAAGTGAGTTCGTATTTTTTTTTTTCAGTTAGATTAAACCATTAGTAAGGAACCTGCAGCAAATATGTCTTATACTGAATTCCTTATTTAAACTATATGGCAGTTGTTTTAAATTTTTTCTGGAGTGATCAGGATTTATCATCATGGTAAACTTTTTTCTTTGCCAACAAAAACATTGTCACAATACCCACAAATTTGACTTTAGATTTTTAAGCACTAATATTATTCTTAAGTAAGTCAAAAGATTGTTCAGAGTATGTCACAGTGTACCAAAAGCTCTTACACTTAATCAAGATTACAGTTGATCTATAATAAAATTTATTACTTAGTTATTTCCATTACTCTTATTATTTTCTCTTAGCAGTGTGATGGGAAATCTGAAGTAGGAAATTACAAAAGAAGTTACAAAGAGACTTTTATTTTTAAAATGAGTTTCTTGTAGATAGCATATAGTTGAGTCCTTTTTTTTGTCCCATCTGACACAATTTTAGCAGGTAGTTGCTAAAGTAAAATCATTACTCTTTGAAAGAAGACAACAAAATCCACAATCTCTATAACATATTATCCATAATGATGACTATACAATTGAAAAAATTACCAGACACAGAAAGAAAAAGAAAAGGTTGACTGGGTATTAAGAGAAAAAGCATTGAAACCCCAGGAGTTGGTGATGGACCAGGAGGCCTGGCCTGCTGCAGTCCACGGGGTCGCAGAGAGCCGGACACGACTGAGCGACCGACTGAGTTAACTCGGCTGGGCTCAGAGTCTCGATTCTCTTTCTTGTTGGAGAATAGCTCGGTTCTTTCCAGATTTTGTCTTTATCTGGACTTCTTAAAGTTTCCCCTGCACATGCACAGATCCAAGGTCACCTGGAGATTTGGATGGAGTTTTTATATAGATTTAGGGGACTTTTCTTACCTTTCCAGAATATCCCCCCTTATTGTCTAGCCGATTTATCTGACAATTAGGCCATCAAGACTGTGGCCTTCTGCTAAAATTCTTGGTGCACCACGTTGTAACTCTGAACGTCCTCAGACACTTAATTTTATGAGTGCAAATCTCATCCACTGCATCTTACTTCTTTCAAAGATCTGTTCTCCAGTTTATGCCTGCTTTTGGTTCCTCTCTTGTACTTTTAAATATTGTTTTTATAATTTGTAATTATAATCAGAGGAGCATTTCCAGAGATACCTGCTTCCCAACATTACCAGAAATAGAACTCTCCCACATCTTCTTGAAACTATGCTTTTTTAATTGATTATCAAAACAGTAGCATACATTGCCAGAAAACTAAAAAAATGTAGAAATGTATAAAAAGCTGGGGGGTAGGTGCAAAATCACCCAGAGATAACTATTACTAATATTTTAGTATATATTCTTCCATTCTTAATTTTTTCTTGATCTAATAGAAGTCATGTTGTACATATAATTTACAGTCCTGTTGTCTTAACATATCATGAAATGTTACTGTATCATATTGATAAAATCACTTTGAAAACATTTTAAGTATTTGTATAGTCTCCTGTGACTTGACTCTATCACAATTTTAATATTCATTCTATTTTGACTATTTCTTTGGTCACTTGTATTTATGCCTTCTGGCCAGTGACTTTCTGATTTTTTTTTAATTGGGGGAAAGGTTGCCTATGTTTTTTTTAAATGTTACCTAGATGATTGGAAATTTGACTAACTAGAAAGTAATGTTTTTAGGAATGATAATCATTTTAGGTTTTGTTTGTAGAAATACTCCTTTTTGAAAGTGTTGATCGATGCTATCATATGTTGTCTGTGATTTGCTTCACCGTATTAATGGAGCATTTAAGAGTGGGATGAGAGTACAAGTGAGAAAACTTGGTTGTTGAAGCTGGTTGATTTGTACTGGCGACTTCATTATTATCATGTTTAGTTCAGTATACGTTTGAAGATTCCATGATAAAAAGTTAGGAAGTTATCTTTAAAGCTTAACATATGTTTGGCTGTAAATAAAAGGTTTTCATAGCACTTTTATATGATTATAAAAGCTTGAATAAAGCAGCTACAGTTAGAAATAACCTCTGAATAAAAGTAAGATTTACTTTTTAATGAAATACTTAATTCATTCCTAAAATACATTAAATGTTTGTTTGAATCTTACGAAACTGCCATTTCTGGCCTATGGAACTGGCAGGTTCATATGGTTAATCTAATGTATATTAGGAAGTATTATAATAAAACAACTGTGAATTCACCACTTAAACTAAGAATATTACCAAAACTGTTGAAGCATTTTATATGGTCTCTGCTCTGTCCTCACTTAAAGGGTAACTATTATCTGAAAAATATTTTTTCTCTTTTGTTTTTTCTTAATTTGATTTTAAAAATTTTAGCTCTTGTTATAATTCCTATACAAGTAGATTTACCAGAAAAAGTTGTGCCCCTAAACAACATATTGTATATCTTGCTTTTCGTCTTTGTAAAACATATCATCAGACTATATATAGACTTCTTTGGTTGGCTTTTTTCACTTGTATTTCTGTGCTGTATCCATGATAATGTATATAGTGCTTATTCATTGATTTTCAGTGCTGTCTTCTAGCACTTCACTGCATGAATGTATCAGAAAGAATTCATCATTCTTTTGAGGGTAGACAAATTTTGGGGGTGGACTAATGTGTCTCCTAATTTTTTGCTGTTGTGAAGAATGTTGCTATGAATATTCTAAGAGGTTGGGTGCCCACGTGCAGTAGTTTCTCTAGTTGGTGGCTTTCAAACATTTTTTGGTATGACCCACAATAAGTTAAAATATTTTTACATTGTAACTGAATATGCAAACTAAAGTTTTCTGAAATAATACTTACCTGTATTAGGCAATATGTACTTTGGTCTTTGCTTAAAAAAAAAATTGCTGCTTAAACTTACTAAGTTGATTCCCATAAAATAAGGGGAAAACACTGTGATTTGTTTGAAACATGTGTTCCTAAACACAATATTTGTATCAGAGAGAGTATATCCATGTTTAACTACATAAGACAGTGTATATTTTTTAAAATGATTGTACCAGTTTGCTTTGCACTTTCATCACTGTGTATCCTTATCAACACTTGGTGTTATTAAACTTTGAAATCTAATTGATATAAAATGACTCAACTTTTATTTTCATTCATTTAAATATTTACCAAGGTCCTACTATGTCCTGAATATTGGTCTTGATGTTGGGGATATATTAGTGAATAAGGAAAACAGAGATCATTCTCTTCATGGACTTTTTCATTCAGTTCTTCCTAATTTTAATTTCACTTTTTTTTTTCCATTTTCAGATGTTCTATCATTTTCAGATTTATCTGGTCATGTGTATTATTCTCTTATTTTTTTACTTTAAACGGTTTATTGTAAAATAAAGCATGGATACAAAAAGAACCCACAAAACAAACATATGGTTTAATGAAAGTTGAGGAACTACGCTAGAAACCCCTCCATGTCCCTTCATCCCAGTTCACACACTTTCTTCCTCCAACAATAAGTACTGCCCTGACTTTTATAGCACTCACTGTCATGTATTTATTTTTATAGTTTTTATCACATAAATATGGATCCCTAACTTAACCTGGCCAGTTTTTTTAATTTGTTAAATGTTTGAGACTTTTTAATTTGCAATTTCTCCCTTTATCCTTTTCTCTTCCTTACTGTTTTGTGTGGAAGAACCTCTAGAGTCTCCCATAGTCTAGATTGCATTTTGTGTAGTTTAATATGTTCTATGTTCTCTGGAAATTAGCAGCTAATTCCAAAGGTTCAGTCGGGTTCAGTGCCTTTGGCAAGAGTCTGGGTTGTATGGGGTTTCTTCATCAGATCTTTTTTGTCATATTAATAGATACATTAGATATTAGATATAAAGAAATACTTTTAGTGGGGATAATTTTATAAAGAGACATTTTTCCCTCATCTAGTATTTGCATACCTAGAGATTCATTTCATACAGGTAAGGACGGATAAATATTTGATTTTTTTCTCATTATTTAGCAGTTTTAAAGATAATGAATTGGTGTTCTGTCATCCTTTAACAATGACAGTAGTTTTTAACTTTTTAATTTTATTTTAAACTCATAAACGTAAACATAAATGATGTGAATCAGTATTTCCATTGCCATTATTATCATTATTGAAACTCATACTATCCCGTCTTTGGCCAACAGGAGTCTTCAGGTTTGCTTTCATGACCTTTCTCATGACCCTTGTATTCTTGAACAGTTTCTTTGCTTTTGTTTGTAAAGACATTGCATGTTCATTTTGTCCGTTACCAGCTCTCTGCCTGGAATCAGCATTTCTTTAACAAATATTGGTTTCTTATAGTAGGAAATGGACCTAGGTGCTAAAAATGCTCATTGCTAATAGAGTAACCATAATTTCTAGGCTTTTTCAGCAGATATAGCTAGGATATCTATATGTCATACACACACACATATATATATGTACCACTATTTGAAGATAAAATATCTCATAAATTCATACTAGTACTTCAAATTCAAGACCAGAGTTTTACTTAATGTCTTCCATATTATATCTGTATATCCTTTCTTCCACACCTGCAACCAGGTTTTCCATGAAAACGGGGCATGATACAGTATCCTACAAGTTACTCATTTGCCTTAACCTACATCAACAAATAACAGTCTCAGAGTAGCAATACTAATGCCAATAATACTCCTTTAAACAGTTAAGTACATATTTTTGCAAATGTTGATTTCTTTTATAGTAAATAGTATATAGTGTCTGGGCATATAGGCGTTATATAATGTACTCTCCTCCTTTTAACCCTTATCATTCTCATTTCTGTGAATGTGTGTATTTAATGTTCACTGTCTTTCTAATGTTGGTGTTTCTCTCTAGTCATTTGATTTTCTGAAGCCTGTTCTCCAAGCATTTACTCAGGCAGGGCTCATTGGAACAATAATTCTTGAGTTCTTACATGTTGATAAGTTTGCCTGTCTGTTGTATGAAATTTTCTTTCCTTGATAATATTTGATGTAGTATTCCATTTTTTTCTGGCAAAGTGTTGCTATTGAAAAGTCTGATGATAACTAAATTCTCTTTTCCTTAAAAGTCACTTTCTCTTTTCTTAGCCTAAAGATTTTTCTCTCTTGAAGTCCAATAATTTCATTAAAGTGTATCTTGCTGTTGATCATTCTGGGGCAGTGTTATCAGGTGTGATTGGCTTTAGACGGGACTGTCAGTTGGGAAGCACCTGTACCTAGCCTTTCTGTCATGGTGGCCTCAGGGTAGCTAGACTTCTTACGTGGTAGTTTAGGAATCCCATAGAGAATGTTCCAACAATCAAGGCAGGGCTGCATGTTCTTTTATGACCTTGTCATGGAAGTCAGTCTCAGTTTTGTTAATTTTCTATTCCTTGAAGTAGTCATGAGCTACGTTCAGTGTGAGGAGTGACAAAGAGTTTGTGGCCATGTTTTTAAATTACCATAGTATTTGTCTTAAAATTTGGCATTAAATCTATTAAGTCAGTGATCATGGAGTTTAGATTGAATCATAATTAATATTTTCTAACAAGGTTGTTGTTGGGCTTCCGTGGTGGCTCAGTCGGTGAAGAACCCACCTGCAGTGCCCAGGGAGCCCTGGGTTCGATCCCTAAGTTGGGAAGATCCCCTGGAGGAGGGCATGGCAACCCACTTCAGTATACTTGCCTGGAGAATCCTTATGGACAGAGGAGGCTGGCGGGCTGCAGTCCACGGGGTTGCAAAGAGTTGGAAACGACTGAGCGACTAAGCACAGGACAGCACAAGGTTGTTGTTAAAATAACCTTAACTTTAGATACATTTTAGAAGTAAAATTTATTAGAATCAGGGATAATTATTGTCATTAGTAGCTCAAATATAGTAACAAATATAAAGATGTCTTTGTAAACTGTATTCAGTTTACATTTACATATACACTTTAAAATATACAAATTTTGACAGTTTGTTTATAGACAAAAGTTGCAAATAAATTCTGAAATATTTCTCAGAAGAAAAGGTGGCAGTGGCTTTATTTTTGCACTGAGATTTCTAACTGCATCCTACTTTTAGATTTGTAGAATTTTGAATGAACTGATAGTACTTTGATTTTGCTTTCATAGTGCATGAATTGAAATATGTTATATAAAAAATGTATATTACAAAAATATATATATATTACATACATATTACTCTGTGTCATATGATAAGCATACTATTTTCACCAGAGCATTTTAGTAATGTTACAGACCCATCCTGCCTTCTGATGAATGATGTTTATTGTTTTTTAAAAGAAATCTTGAAGATGGTTTCATTGAATTAGAAAGCAAAAAAAAAAAAAAAATACAATCTTGATTTTAGAATGACTTAGATATATTTTTCTTTAAGTAGTTTTATGTTTTATCCTGTTCATATCAGGAAAACCATACTTGAGACTCTTTACATTTAGGATTCTACTCCATGTAAATAAATGGCAGCATGTGATTACACAGACACAGAAAAACATACTATAAGTAGCATGTTTTACAGTGTCTGATCTTAGAGCATATCTAATTCTGCCAGAGTGTTTTGAAATACAGCAAAAAAACACTTGTATAGTGTTCTTGTTGCATCATTCTGGATTATTGCTTTCTCTTTTCCTTCAAATTTTACATTCGCTTTTATAGATGAAAAATCATTATGATGTTTTAATGTGTCTGGACAAATGTGTATATATGTTTCCCTGATGGCTCAGCGGTGAAGAATCTGCCTGCCAGTGCAGGAGACGTGGGTTCAATCCCTAGGTTGGCAAGATCCTCTGGAGAAGGAAGTGGCAGCCCACGCCAGTAGTCTTGACGGGGAAATCCTGTGGACAGAGGAGCCTGGTGGGCTACAGAGAGTTGGACATGACTTAGTGACAAGGACTGACACACAAACAAATACACATGTCTATTTCTGTCTGTCCATATATGTGTATGCAGTATGTGCAACATTTGAAGAGTTATGTCCTGGTGGTGAGTCAGGGGCAAGAGAAAGTATTTTTATACAACTCTCAGTAGTTCACCAAGTAGCTCTTGTCATTCTTTCATCCTGTAAGTAAAGAATCTTACCATTCACCTGTTTTTCATTTGCAGGTAAGCTTTTGGGTTGTTAGAGAGATTCTTCATGCTCAAACATTAAAAATTAGAGCAGAAGTTTTAAGCCACTATATTAAGACTGCTAAGGTAAGATAAACTTGTGCTTCTGTTTTTGAATTCAGTCATTTACTAATGCTTGTGAGTAAATATTTGCCTGGGTCACTATAGTCACTATTTATTGACACTGGAAAATAAGGCCTACTGATTAGCGTAAGTTAATTTTTTAAATTGCATGTCTGTTTCCTTTGCCTATTCTTCTATTCCTCCTATCTTCCTCCCCTTTTCTTTTATACTTTTCCTCTCTTTCTCAGAGAAGCTGAATTGTATTTGGGCAGAGGTCAGATTATGATGAAGTTTAATATTTATAAAATAGTTTGGTATAGTCTGCAGGTGACTAAAAAAAACCTTATAGGATTAAGTAGGGAAATACATATCAGTTATTTGCCTTTGAAATAGATTATTCTGCCAACCATGTGGAGAATAAGACTTTATTATTAAAAGAATGGTATAAATGAGGGTGTTAACCAAATACATTGAGTAGCATAGATAATAGATGCAGTAGGAGAAATAGAACATGGATTTCAAAGACAGTTAAAATTTAGAGAGGAAGATGGAATAGGACATTCCACAAGAGGATACAAGATTTTACTAAAATTGTAACAACTCCAAATTTATGTCATGTTTACTTAAAATAGGTATAATGGTAGCCACATCCTTCATTATTCTAATAATAAATACATAACTTATCTCACTTGTGAATGAAGGAAGATGGAATAAATTGAGGATACCATTTTTACAATTGTAAATTATTGTACTCATTGTAAATATTATAAGTCATAACTCTTCCATAGTTTCCTTGAGCACCTGGAAGCAACTGTATTCTAACATTGTATGGCACTAGGTGGCAGGGTTAGCCTTCTTAAAATTTGTTATTTTTTCAGAAGTGTCATAAAATTTTTAAAAACATTCTTTGTGATATGTTAGATAAAGATTGGATTTTAGCTAGTAGAATCCATGTCTTTTCTCCATAGATCCTGAATTTTCATTATTGTTTTCTGGTGTTTTTGTTAGTTTTTTTCTTTTTTTTAATGTATGTTCCACTCAAAACCACCAAATCCATTAGACCTGTCATTATTCTTATCAAATAATCATTTAATTCCAGTTCAGACTCATACTTTTGAGTTATTTCTGATAATGCTTACTTTTACCCCAGGGCCTAAATTCATAATTTTTTTGTTCATGACTGTCTCTTCAATCCCTCTAGGGACTCTGCCTTCTATATTGTTTCTTATAAAACAGGCAGGTCTTTCTCTTCTTTTAGTAGATGTTTCAGTTAGGTTCTCAAAACACACACACACATATATGTATATAATGTATAAAAAGATTTAAGAAATTTATCTCATATGATTGAGTTGGGGAGAGGCTGGCAGATTTGAAGTCTGTAGGGCCAGCAGACAGCCTAGAGAGTTAGGAAGGAGTTTCTAGATTTTTGCTGTTATCAGTACCACTGCTTATACAGCATTCTTGTGTGAATCTCTTGGTGCTCAACTGCAGGTTAAAACACTTGGAACTATAGAGAGAAAGGACAAATTAGCTTCAAAGAAATGACAATGAGACCAATAGCTTTCATTGAATCTGATGAGAATGAACATTTTTTGTGTTTTGGCTATTTACGTTTTTCTCTCTCCTGAAATGTCTGCTCAAGATCTTTCTTTGAACAGTATTCTCATATAGTGTTGGTCTTTGGTTTTTATAGTTTAAAAAATATAATCCCAGATGCTAAAGTTTTTTGCTATATTCTTTGCATACATCTTCCTATTTGTGACCTGTCTTACAACTCTTTTCCTATTGTCTTTTGATACAGATGCTCTTAATTTTAATAGTCAAATATATTAATTTTTAACTTTTATTGTCTTGTGCTTAAAAGAATATCTCATTTAAATCTTACTCTAAACTCTGAAAATGTCAAAGATTTTCTCACACATTACTCTTTAAAACTTCTATAGCTTTGATTTTGGTAGTCAATTCTTAAATTTTAGATATAATACATGCAGTTATGGATTCCAGTTCATATTTTTCCATATGAATAATCATTTTGACACCATTTTTAAATCTTTTTTAAAGCTCTCTTTATTTTGTCTGGAAGCATCTTTCTGTCACCCTTGTTCTTGAAAAATGTGATTCCAAATTCATGATTCATTTTTTTTTTATTTACACTGCTTGGGATTTCTTGAGCTTCCTCACCCTGGGAATTAGTGTCTTTCAGTAATTTGGGAAAATAATCCACCATTACCTCTCATAGTCTACCCACTCCAGCATTCTTGGGCTTCCCTTGTGGCCCCGCTGGTAAAGATTCTGCCTGCAATGTGGGAGACCTGGGTTTGAACCCTAAGTTGGGAAAATCCCATGGAGAAGGGAAAGGCTACCCACTCCAGTATTCTGGCCTGGAGAATTCCATGAACTGTATAATCCATGGAGTCGCAAAGAGTTGGACACGACTGACCAACTTCACTTTCACCTCATATTGTTTCTACCCCATTATTTTTTTTATCATGTCCTTCTGTAGCTCCATTTAGATAAATATTAGCCTTTTCCCCTCTACCTTTCATGTCTTTTTAACCTTTATTTCACATTTTTAAAAAGATTCCTTAGCTTTTGTGTTGCTTTTTGGGTAACGCCTTCCTTTTCATTTCATTGGAAGCCAGTATCTGATGTTGTTCTCCATTTGTGAATTCTTGTTTCCTTTTCTTTTTCTTATTTTTCCTCTGAGGCATTTCCTTTGTATGAATTTGCATCCCTAGTTTTTATGAATCTACATCCCTAGAAAAAGAATCCAAGGATTTTCTCTCCTGTGTGTTTTTGTCTTGCTTCTTCCTAGTCCATGATGACAGCTGAGGTTGTCAGTACAATAAAACCAAACTGATGGGATGGGAGCAGGTTGTTCTGCCATTTTTCTAGTAATAGATCTTGAGTCACACATCAGATCTGGGGCTGATCCCTCCACACTTACTGAGCTTGCCTGTGAGGTTCACAACAATTTTCCCAGCCCTGTGATCATCAGTGATTTCAAATGCACTAATGTAACCATGCTTCATCATCACAGTTAGAAACCTGATGATGACTTTGGAGCACTGCCTGATAAGCGCCTGGCTTTTGCCTCTCTTTTCGGCATTATTGATACTCTTGAGAGCATCAGCCAAGACATTCACACGCCCCATTATGGTGGCATGGAAAGATGGCAGAAAGAGTCCTTGTGTTTTTCCCTTTCCCTTTTTTATTTTTTTAAACTTGAGTTCATATTTCTTGAAATATTATGGGAGTTCTTTCAGACCTGAGTTAAGGTGGTATTAGTTAGGGTTCGTCAAAGGAATAGAACCCCTCGCCTTTCCTTGGTTCTCATATTCATAACAGGCAATTTTTGTCTTGGAGTTTCTTGATGATTAAGGACAGTTTTACATGATAAGACCGTTGAGGTATAAACATCTGATAGTTTGAAGAAATCTGGGCAATTAGCAATAATTTGACAGAAGTAGATGACCTCTTGGTAAACTGACAGAATCTATCATTAGCATGTACGCACAGCATCATATGGGATTCTTCTGCTTGGAGGCTATAAAAAGCAATGTCTAGTATTGGGAAGCAGGTAGATGTTCCAGCATGAACAAGGAACAAAGGAATGTGGATTCAGGTGGGAGGAAGCCAGAAATTGAGGAGGGCTGTGAAAAGCAAGCTTGAACCCTAGCCCTGGAATGTTAGGGGTCCTGCTGCTGCTGCTAAGTCGCTTCAGTCATGTCAGACTCTGTGCGACCCTATGGACAGCAGCCCTCCAGGCTTCTCTGCCCACAGGATTCTCCAGGCAGGAATACTGGAGTGGGTTGCCATTTCCTTCTCCCATTAAGGGTCCTGAGTAGGACACGAATCAGGATCCTGGGCATGGACCTTTTCTTTGAACTTGGATTATAAGGCAGAACTAGTAAGAGTTCAATATAAGAAAGGAAATTGCCTACTGGAAACAAGGATGCATACCAGATAACTTTGATGCTGAGCCATAACTTTGGTTTTCTTAATGTATAAGGCAACTGGAGGTAGATGTGTTCCCAGAGCTAGGAGGGAGTTCTGTGTGGGCCAAAAATCAACTTACTGTAAACACAGTGGATACCCCCAAAACAAATCTCAACAATGAAGGTAATAAGTATGCTATAAGAACCACCAGTTGCTTAAACTGTATTTGTGTTTAAGTTGTCTTGTATTTATGCTATTTATTTTTTGTCTCTCCTCCCCCTTTTTCTTAAATCTTCCAGAAGTTGTATGAGCTGAATAATCTTCATGCACTTATGGCAGTGGTTTCTGGCTTACAGAGTGCCCCAATTTTCAGATTGACTAAAACATGGGCGGTGAGTAATTTTCTTTAGTTAATGATAGGTTAGACTTCCTGTTGGAAGTGAAGATGTTTAGTTCCTTTTGTAGTTCTTAATAAGGTTAATATTATAATAGATAAGGATTTCTTAGTTACTTTGTACTCTGTTCTTTGAAACCTACATTTTTTCCTCTCCCCTTAAATAAGTATTTCATGAGGCTTGTTAGGTATTTTGAGCTAAAAACCAACGTGATGCTTTGTTTCTGCTCTTTAGGAAATCATTTTTGTAGAACTTCTTTAAACATCTTTGACAACATAGCATTTCAAGTTTACTGATGGGAAACTGTAAATGTGAAAATAAATTGCATTAATCATGTAAAAATTATGCTTTTGGAAAATTTGAGGAAGATATAAGTTGTAAGTTGCCCCCAAAATTTAGTGATTGAGATTTCCATTTCAATATCTTTTACTCAATAAACTCTTGGGTTTTTTCCTTAGGAATAAAGGAAAATCTGACAGCTAACATGGAAGTAGGCAGTGTTTCTGTGCACGTTGTGATATTATGCTAGTCATACTTGGTTCTGTTTAACAGGATCAGAGTGTGGGTTTTTACTTTTGCAAATTTGTGTATTTTTATAGTTGATCAATGTGATGCTGGCCTCAAGCTTGCTGGATATTTTTCATTTAGATTTTATAGAACTGAAACTTTAGATTCAGTTTAATCTGTTCATATTAATACTATTCTTTAATGTTAAAGAGGAGTGATTTTGTTTACTACATTTTGTGCAGAGGGTTAGTGTGTTCTTACTGTCCTGGAATAAAGACTTGACTAACTTTAAAACACTTTTTTACTTACTAAAATTTAACTTTGTTTTTAATTAGCCTGGTGTTCTCACTTTTCATAGTATCTGAAGAGACAGATGTTTCTCATACTAGAAAAACATTAGTATGGAAGAGCTTATGATCTTCTTTATACTTCATTTGTATTTTAGAAACACCTGAGTGAACAGTTTTCCTACTCTAAAAATTATTTTTAATAACAATGACCTAATTCTCTTTTATTAAAATTTTAATTTAATGAGGGAATGGAAGTGATTATAAATATACAATCATGAATTCCGTCTTTGAAGTTTTAAGGAAAAGAAATTGTACTCTGGTTAATATTGTGGTTTAGAAATGAGATACATTTCCCTCAAGTTCATTTTTGTTTCCTTGAAGTTATTTTCATTGTCTCTCTCTCATGTCTTGCATCAAAAACAGTTTTGTTTAAATTTAGTAATAGCTCCATTATTAATCTGAATAAAATTTTTGGTGTTCATATTAAACTTGAAAATATTCCACACTTTTGCTAGGTACTAATTGTTTGACATGCATGTGGATGATATAGACAAAGTCCTGTTCTTATAGAGCTAATATTCTACTGGGAAAAGATAAGCTGTAAATATATAAATTATATATCAAATAATGATGAATGCTCTGTAGAAAAATAAAACAGAGTAAATGAGATGTAAAATACTTCCCTCATGCTTTTCTGTGATATGTGGTAAGAATTTCTGATAAGTGATTGGACCTAATTGCAGTTGGACCTGGCTATTGAAAAAGATTGATGACCTTGTCAAAGATGTTGGAATGATTGGATTTGAGAGAAGAGTGGAGGAAAAAATGGGACAATAAGAATAGAGAATGCCTTTGAGAAATTTTGTTGTGAAGTACTGGGGTGAGGGCCAGCGATAACTAGAAGAAAAATGAGATTAAAGGTTTGTGGTGTTTTGCTTTGATTTTAAAGATGAGGTCCATGACAGTATGCTTGAGTGTTAGTACAGTGGTCTAATAAAATGAGGAAATGCTAAGAGAATAAGGAGCCAAGCCTGTGATGCCCTAGATTAGCCCAGAGGAGATAAGGTCCAGTACTCCAGTGGGGCAGGAGCAGTTTCTCCATTTTAACAAGAGAGAGGGGATGCGAGTGGCTACAGACACAGGTATGTTGGTAGGTCCGGTGGTGGGATTCTGTAGAATTCTTCTGCGGAATTCTCTTTCATAAGACATGAGAAGCAAGGTCATTAATTGACAGTGGGGGAGGTATTGGAGGTTTGAAGAAAGAGGGAAGGATGAAAGTCGTCAAGGGGACTGTTAGAGTGAATTAATTAGGGAAGCATGTAGGTCTTAGGAAGGTCCACTTGAGATTTTTGGTCATGAACTTAAAATGAAACTTAGTGTTCAGCATTACCAGAAGAAGTGCTGAGAACTAATTGTATTTAACCAGTTGGATTTTTTTTTTAGGCTTGTTTGTACCACAGAGAGGTCAAGGATAGTACAAGAGATAAAGTAGGTAAATATAAAAGTTGTGATAGATGAGGAATCTAACCCAAGTAAAAGGAAAGAAATATTGAACAGTGAAAGGGTAGTATGGTGGAAAATCCTGGTGCCCTCAAATGCAGGGAATGCACCAAAAAAAATAACATCACAAATGGGGGAAATATTAGAAACATTCTCTTTAACATCAAGGAAAAGTATGTCCATTTTCACTGTTTCTACACAACATAGAAATTTTATCATAGTCAAAAAAGATTAGAAATAATAGGATATACCCTCAAAAAATTAGAATTACATTGAGTTACCATTTATCCATCAACTCCACTTCTGGCTATATACCCAAAAGAATCAAAGATTGGGACTCAAACAGGCATTTTTATACCAGTGTATACAAATCATCATGATTAACAATAACCAATAGGTATGAACAATCCAAATGTCCACAAACAGATGGATGAACATACAAAATGTGGTGTAAACGTACAATGAAATATTATACATCCTTAAAAAGGTCTGTAATTCTGACACATGCTGCACCTTAGATAAACCTTGGTGATATTATGCTCAATGAAATAAGCTAGACACAGTAGGACAAATAGTGAATGATTCCATTTATATGAGGTGCCAAGAGTAGTCAAATTCATTGAGACAGAGTAGAAGGTGGTTCCCAGGGCTGAGAGGAGCAAGAAATGAGGAGTTCCTGTTTAATGGTTACAGAATTTCAGTTAGGGAAGATGGAAAGAGTTCTAGCCATGGATGATTGCAATGATTGACGGATATTGTGAATGTACTTAATGCCACTAAATAATACACTTAACACTGGTTAAAATAGTAAATATTATGTATACTTTACCACAGCTTTTAAAAATAGTCCTCTGAAAACAAGTCTCTGCTATCCCACCCCAAGTTGAATCCTTTCATTCTGATTATTGATTTGTTATGAAAATTGCAAAATGTGTTATTTTTATACATATCAGACTCCATGCTTCTTTAGTTTTGTGTTTCAGATATGTCAAAATCAGCTCTGAGTTCCAAGTAATTTGTTTCTCCTGATACTGTACCAGAGTTCTGGAATGACTGACTTTGGGGGAAAAAAAAGATTTCTTGTTATCCTTGCTGTGCCATGCAGTATAATTTGCATATTCAAATACTTTGTTACGTGGGAGAGAAAAGAATGTTTGGATTTATAGATTGAAGTGGAGAGTTGCACCTAATCTTGAAAGTGCTAATCAGATGTCTTGAAACTGGGCCACAGAAAGTCCTGAAACCAGTGTTTGCAGGAAAACCTATCTAAAACATTCAAGCCAGAGGACTCTCTGAACTCTTTGGGAGGGATACTGGTCAGACAGTTTTTTTGTTTTTGTTTTTAGAGATTATCTGAAGATAATCTGTTATTTTGGAGCCTGTGAAAAATAGATTACAGCATCAATCCCAACTATATTACTTTTAATATTAGGAAGAGTAGTGGATTAGATGTTAGAATACTCTGTCTCCAGGACCAGACTGAGACCCTGAAAAGCAGGACCCAGTCTTTGTGAGTGAATGACTGACGAGTGTTGGTGTGTTCTACTTCCCCTTGGGGTCTCAGTCGCCTCGTCTTTAAATTAGTCCTCTTGACTTTTCTCTTAACATCGTAGGAGAATCAGATGAGAATTTTATAGGTGGAAGTGTTTTGCCTGCTATAAAATAACAAATATTTTATGACATAAAGTGAAATCTGATTTACAACAATAATGAAATAGTAACTTCACATTTTTAAAGAAGAGATTTTTTTTTCCCCCAGTCTTTGAAATACTTAAAAACATGTATTTTCTGAGTCTTTTAGTTAACATTATTTCAGATGACTGCCCTTGCTTTTCTTTTATTCCCCTTGATATCTCCATTTTTCTCAAAGGGCACACACTATAAATCTACTTCTCAAGCCTCCTAAAACAGCTGCAGTTGATTGTTCAACTGTTGTAATACAGCACTGATCAAAGGGATCAAGGAAAAAATGTCAGAAATCCAAACATGTAAATTGTAGTTTTATAGTACTGGTAGGACTAGTTATGGTTAGAGTCATCAAGAAAAATTATTACTTAAATTATGAAATTCAGTATTTATTTCTTAATGCTTATGTAAGAATTATCTATCTTTGAGGGGGCAGGGGACAAGTCATGAAAATATTTGGGCCTTTGAGGTGAATATGAATATATAATTATTTTAAATTAGGAAAATGACTAATAAAAATTGTTTAACCATTTAAAATAGTAAAGATGATAAATAATGTATTTTAATTTACTACTTAGTAAGTTAATTATTTTAGGTACATACAAAGTATATTGTATTTTATGAATAATGAATTTGGGTTTATTATATTAATAAACATGTCTGGTTTTATTTATATACTACCAGAATATAATTAAAGAATAAAACTTTGAAATTAAAATTCAAATTTATAGTAATTGTAACTCTTAAGTCTTTACTATAATAAAATTGGATATAGAAATAACTTGGGCTTTTCTATTTGTCTTTTAGTTATTAAGTCGAAAAGACAAAACCACCTTTGAAAAACTAGAATATGTAATGAGTAAAGAAGATAATTACAAAAGACTCAGAGACTATATAAGTAGCTTAAAGATGACACCCTGCATTCCCTATTTAGGTGAGTTATGTCACTGTATATTCATTATGCCTAGTTGTTGCTCTGCTTTAATCAATAGTTTATATAAAATTCAATATATTTTAAAAGTTTGTGTGTCCTTTAAAGAAATTAAAGGATTCTTAATTTGAAAAAATTGTCTAGAGGAATGTGTTACCTTACTACCTGGAATGTATTTTCATTTTTTCTTAGACATGAACCATATGGTAAAGCCATACATTTTTGCTATTTTAGTAATGCTTTGAAAGAATGAACTAGTAGTTTGCAGTGAAGTTTAATGCTGTGAAAATATTTAACATCAACTTAAGAAATTGATCAAAAGATATAATGAATTTATTGTCAGCATCATGAGTTCTTGGTTTATATTGTTGGCAGGTATTTTAACAGTGAATTATGAAAAACAGTCTCAATGAAGGTGTTATTGTTTTTCTGGAAGAAATTAGCTGTTTAGCTGTGGAAATTTAGCTCAGTGCTGAGACAAATCTGTATTTTACATATTATTACATGTAGTGTGTATCTGTTTATTGTATATTTTACAGTGTTGATGAATTCCAAGAAGTATTGAACCAATAACATAAGATATTCACCAAAATATGAATAGTGATTTTTATTAGGTGTTTGAATAAAAAATGACTGAAACTATACCTTTTTAATGTATATGTGAATTTAAATACAGAAAATATATTATGTATGCCTAGTATATGCATTATATTATGTATACGTAGTATGTGCATTAAAATAAATTGACTTGATCCTATGTAGAAAGTAATCAAAAGATAACATTTGCTTTTTCCCAGTATCCCCTTTTACCCCCTATTTCCACTTTCTTTTATGTAACTACTCATACTGGATTTCACCATAACTGTTTCTGAAAATAATGGAAAAACCTGTTCCTTGTTTAGGAGTCTCTACAGTGTCATCTTTGAAGTCTTTATAGTACCAGTGACCAGAACACAAAGTAGGGGCAAAGACAGCTGATACACTGTCATTCAGCTGATCTAGAGCATCACCTTAGTTTGTCAGAGATCTTAACTCATCATATCATTGTGGGACATTCTCAAATTCCAGTGGGAATAGGAAATGTTGTACGTCCTATGTTCAAGGCAGAATACTCCTGTGCGTTGTTCTTCGGTGCTCAGTTTTCTTTACAGTCCAACTCTCACATCCATACATGACTCCTGGAAAAACCATAGCTTTGACTAGATGGACCTTTGTCAGCAAAGCAATGTCTCTGCTTTTTAATATGCTGTTTAGGTTGGTCATAGCTTTTCTTCTAAGGAGCAAGCGTCTTTTAATTTCATGGCTGCAATCCCCATCTGTAGTGATTTTGGAGCCCCCAAAAAATAAAGCCTGTCACTGTTTCCATTGTCTCCCCATCTATTTGTCACGAAGTGACGGGACCAGATGCCATGATCTTTTCTGAATTTTTCGGATCTTTTCTGAGTTTTCTGAATGTTGAGTTTTAAACCAACTTTTTCACTTTCCTCTTTCAGTTTCATCAAGAGGCTCTTAAGTTCTTCTTTGCTTTCTGCCATAAGGGTGGTGTCATCTGCATATCTGAGGTTATTGATATTTCTCCCGGCAATCTTGATTCCAGCTTGTGCTTCATCCAGTCCCACGTTTCTCATGATATACTCTGCATATAAGTTAAATAAGCAGGGTGACAATATACTGCCTTGACATACTCCTTTCCTGATTTGGAACCAGTCCGTTGTTCCATGTCCAGTTCTAACTGTTGCTTCTTGACCTGCATACAGATTTCTCGGGAGGCAGGTCAGGTGGTCTGGTATTCCCGTCTCTTGAAGAATTTCCCACAGTTTGTTGTGATCCACACAGTCAAAGGCTTTGGTGTAATCAATAAAAGAGAAGTAGATGTTTTTCTGGAACTCTCTTGCTTTTTTTGATGATCCAACGGATGTTGGCAATTTGATCTCTGATTCCTCTGCCTTTTCTAAAACCAGCTTGAACATCTGGAAGTTCACGGTTCACAGACTATTGAAGCCTGGCTTGGAGAATTTTGAGCATTACTTTGCTAGTGTATGAGATGAGTGCAATTGTGTGGTAGTTTGAACATTCTTTGGCGTTGCCTTTCTTTGGGATTGGAATGAAAACTGACTTTTTCCAGTCCCGTGGCCACTGCTGAGTTTTCCAAATTTGCTGGCATGTTGAGTGCAGCACTTTCACAACATCATCTTTTAGGATTTGAAATAGCTCACCTGGAATTCCATCACCTCCACTAGCTTTGTTCGTAGTGATCCTTCCTAAGGCCTACTTGACTTTGCATTTCAGAATGTCTGGCTCTAGGTGAATGATCACACCATCATGGTTGTCTGGGTCATGAAGATCTTTTTTGTGTAGTTCTTCTGTATATTCTTGCCAGGAATATTCTGTATTCTGTACAGAAATATTCTGTGTGTTCTTGCCAGGAATATTATGTATTCTGTACATGAAACATACACTCAGCATTACATAATTTTATACATTGGATTCTCCATGTAATTATTCATCCCTATACCAGTCTGTGAAGAAGCATCTGAGATTGTGAGATGATTGTGGAACATTTGGCACAAACATTTGGTAGACTTGGGACAGGAAAATGAAACAGTGAAATATTTGTCGGACAAGTTCTTGTGATGCAGTTAAGCTCGTTTCCAGCATGAAAATCACCTTTTTAATGTAGTGACAGTTTCATTTTATAGCATACTTTGAGATTAAATGTATTCATCCCATCTATCAAAACAAACATGCTTTTCCTAAGAAAATGTGAAGCATTTCAGCTTTATAAAACTTTCTGACTGCTTGCTTTATTTGTATCATAATCAGCTGGTTCATTTTCTCATTCCTAATCTTCAGTACTAAAGTATGTTAAAGAATGAAGATTTTACAATAGTTTATATCCTGTTAATATTTACATTTTTCATATGGACATGGGCTTAGGTGGACTCTGGGAGTTGGTGATGGACAGGGAGGCCTGGTGTGCTGCGGTTCATAGGGTCACAAAGAGTCAGACATGACTGAGTGATTGAACTGAACTGAAAATGAATTAGGATCGTGGTTTTTAAATTTAACTTTTCTTCAGAATTTTTTCCTCACTTGTATTAAACTAGGCCTAGTGCAGATAGATGCCAAAAATGACAACATTTACAAGATGCTGTACATTTGATAGGACATAACTTGTCCTGAAGACATTTGAGAGATAATCCTCATTGTGCATATTAGGAGCTTCTAGTTAACTATCCCTCCTCAAGTGTACAGAATTTGCATAATGCTATCCTTTATAGATGGCTCCATGGTAAAGAAGCCGCCTGCCAAGCGGACGACCAGGGTTGGATCCCTGGGTCGGGAAGATCCCTTGGAGAAGGAAATGGCAGTGTATGCCAGTATTCCTGCCTGGGAAATCCCATGGATAGAGGAGTCTGGCTGGCTACAGTCCATGGGGTCACAAAGAGTCAGACAACTCAGTGACTAAACAACCACCCCTTATCCTTTAACGTCTGCGAAGGTTCTTTTGGAACAGATGTGTCAACCAAAAGAATCTGTACTATACAGAGAAAAGGTAAAAGTTCATCACCTATTCTTAACATAAGAGGCATTATCCAAACTAACGATGTTTTTAGTGTTATGAATTATGAACAGAACCAACCATCATTCTCTATGAAATTTAAAACAGAAAATGGAGGCTTATATGCTGACAAAACTCTTACTTTGATATTGCCAGATTTATTTATAATTCAATGTGGATTAAATTATAAAAAGTAGAAAATGTTTTCTTGGCTTTCAACTCATCATCTGTTGAAAAGTTGTCTCTTCTGTTGGTTTGCATTCAAGGTAAAAATTAGTCAGCCTGGACAATATAGTGAAAAGTTCTTAGGCTAAGGATACAGTTTTTCTGGAGAGAAATAGTTTGGCAAATCTCAAGGAAAAAATTGTTTTATATGAGAATTATTGCTTTAAATCTGAAAATCATTAACAGCACTCATTTGTTCTTGTCATTGGAGAACAATCTTAAGGGGCTTATTGAAGAATTTGGCATGGGAAGTTTTGCTTTGCTGGAGAGAGGGGAAAAGAGCATTGTGCAAAAATAATTTTGTTGTATGAAACATGATAAATATTCTTTCATGTGCATTTTCTAGCCTCATTTCTACTTTATTTATGTAATTTTGGGAGGATGCAGTAGCTCAACCAGCTTAGGATGTTTTCTGGGAAGGAAAGCATATGTTTTTAAAACTCTGGAAATAAGTAAGTTGTTGCAGTTCTGTACACTGCTTCCTATTAAGTAAAAGCAAAATTTTACAGAGAAGTAAGATGGCCTCACTCTGTCTCCTATAGAGACACCCCCAACTTAATTTGCAATTTTGTATGTTAGATTTTCAAGATAGCCGCCGGCCCCTTTTTTCCCTTTTTTGAGAAGAGGAAAGCTCTCTTTATGTTGGGCTTCTCTGGTGTCTCAAGATGGTAAAGAATCTGCCTGCAGTGCAGGAGACCAGGGTTTGGTCCCTGGGGTGGGAAGATTCCCTGGAGAAGGGAATGTCAACCTGCTCTAGTATTCTTGCCTGGAGAAGTCCATGGATAGAGGAGCCTGGTGGGCTTTTTTTTTCTTCTCTTTCTGTGAGAATAGAAAAGCTTTCCTTATATCCATCTGTAATAAAGAATATAAATTGTACCCTTTCCATCCCCTATCCTCTGACAAGCACTATTTTGTTTTCATTAATCTCTCTCCCTCAGCAGTGTGTAAGCGCTTAGTTTACCTTGGTCCAGGGCTCTATGTTTATCATCTGGAATAAAAGTGGGCACTTAGTATTTAATACTTAACTGGTTAACTTCATTAATTATATTATCCCTTTCTGGCTCTTCCCATTGTTCCAGCAATTTTGTCTGTCATTTTTTGTCTACAATTCCCTACCTACTCCCAGTGTTCTTTTGGTGCATCCGCTGGCCATCCAGCGTTTGCTTACTACTGTTCTTGGTGATAGATGTAGAGCAGTGATCAAAGTGGACTTTGA